GGCTGAGTCTCGACGTCGGCAAGGACGGAAACACAGCTAAACCTTTTTGAGCCAAAACTGCGCCTCAACTTCAACACTTGCCCCCAGCACCTTTTCCCGAATCTATGGAGACATGAAGCCCCAAAACCTTCAAGCACCCAGAAACAACCCGAACTTTGCCAGAAGCCAGAGAAAAGCAGCAACAGGCAGATTCACCCCAATCTCCTCTCAGCGCGTCAGGGGCGCTGCAAGCCAGCGGTCTGAACAATGATTTCCAAGCGCTTCGGGCTCTTGGAAAACGAGATCTTGAACAGCGACTCCGAAATCGCTAGCTCGAAGCTTTCAGATCTGGATTTGGGTTCTGAGGTGCAGCCATGGGATGTTGATCAAAACCGAGGATTTATCCCGGACCAGAACTCAGCTCATGAGAATCACACGTTTCCACGAATCCTGAGAACTTGAACGCCGAGCTGTTCGAAGGGGGGAGGCCGTGCAGTGACGGAGGGTGCTCTGTCGCGGTGGAAAATGCATGCGTGTGGGGCGTGTGGGGCCCCTATACTATTGATACTCATAATGATAACGATCACACAAAGATGAGAATACGAAGTAGAGCGAGCAGCCTCCCGACTTGCTGTGTGTCCCTGCTTACTCTGGAAGATTACAGGAAGCCGGGGTCGATCTCAGGTCATCTTGCAATACCTCCTGGGAGGTTCTGAATAATTTACAACTGCAACCCAAGATTTTCGCAGGCAAAAGCATACCACTCGGACACGGGGCTAACAGAATCAGAGACAGGCTTACTGGAGCTACTCTGTACTATAATGTTTTCGTTGATCCGGTGAACCTCAGCTGGCTTTCAGCATTCCGCCATGGCGCCCATCCGGAACACCATGATTGGGAGGCTGGAGGGAGCAAGTTGTCGGGGGGGTGGGCAAGATGAGGAACCTCATGACATGGCTGGGACCGTTGTTTCGGCCATTGCAGTCTCAGCGATGTCGGATTGCCAGTCTCCGGTGTGTTACGGTTCCACTCTGAACAGTTCACATAGTTCACGGCTGTCGGAGGCTCAGGAGCTCTGTCTGAAGGGCATTACAGTGGACATCATGTGATAGCACCACTGACGGCTGCGAAGCTGCTGTGGAGGTGCTCTGCGTGATGGCTGCAGTGTGTACAAGAACTCACCGTGCTGGAACAACATTGACGTCAGGTGTTGAGCTGCATCTTGAATCGTCAACAACAGTAGGCAGCCTGTCAGAAATTCTGAACTCTGGCGAGTAGCCAGCGAAAGTGGAGGCAAGATGCGCTTCAGACCCAAACCTATGCGTGCAGAACTCATCGGTGCAGCCATATCAGGAGAATGCAGAGCTAACCATATCATGTACCGAACAGTCACATACTAGGCTGCAGCACATACGACGGCTTGTTTTCGAATAGTTGTATATATAGATATATACACCTGTATATGTATGCACACATATACCTCGGCAATGCTGCATCTTGCAAAACATGTATGTATGCATGAATACATATACATGTATAATGTACATACAAATAGCACTAAGTGAAAGCATACATAGACTGATAATTACACTACACGTGCATTTACAATAACATCTACATGTGCATGTACGTCCACGTCTACATGTGCACATGCATATACATGTACGTCTACACTAGATACATACATACATACGTACATACATACGGACAAAGATATGTAATGAATTGGTGTGTATGAACACCGACATGATAGCTGTGAGTTGGCTTATGTCTTCCATGTAGCTAAAGTCCACGGACTGTGGAACTTTGGGGACACTAGCGGTGTTACTTGTCCCTGACTGAGAACCTTCGAGGCACACCAAATGGCTGCTGTTGACCACTGTGCTCAGGACACCATGTGTGGATTCAGAATATGAAAAAGCACTGTGGCAAAGTCTCTCAGTCGCATCCTCGTGAAGCAAAGTCGCTCCCTGAACCACATGAGAAGCGATTCCGGTTTCAATTGACGGTACTGTCTTTAGTCGCTTCAACGGCTTCTGTGACGTGCAGACGAACCGATCACAACACTGTAGATAGCACGTGCAAGTGTAGCGGCTAAGATGTTCGCAACTTGAAACGTTCCTTTTGCTGCAAGCCTGGCACAAGCATCTGTGAGGAAATGTCCCGGAACATCCTTGCTTCGAGTTCTGTAGCATGTGCACAACGCTACTTATTCCACAAGTCGCCCATCAGGAAGGCGAATACAAGACGCTTTCACTCACAACTGTCCGATCGACATTCGATTGAAGCGTCGATTCCTTGGACAAGTTCCCCTCGCCCAGACCATTGGCCGAGCAAGTGTCCCAACTGCTACACCGGTAACACCTCACCTATTGGGTTTAGGCGGGGGTTAGGGTTTTTTTTGAAGTAAGCTATAAGGGTTACTATAAGCGAGCCTCGAAGCTGGTGCATCGTGCTCCGGCTATAGCAAGTCCGCGCACTCAGCTGTCGAAGATGGCCTCAGCCTTCTCCACTTCTTCCTGGAAGTCTTCCGTGTCCACGAGGGCATCCATGACGGCCTGAAGTCACTCCGGAAAGCGCCCCCGAAACTGTTTTGAACTTGGGGATAAGAGCCTCCAGTACTACATGGTGAAGAATTACGAAGAATGATCCTTAGGTGCTGGGTTACTATTATTCCGTTAAAAACACGATAGCGCATGTCTGCTTCTAGTGCCAACGCACAACATCCATTGCCGTCCCGACAAGCAACGTACGAGACGTTTCTGTATGCATGTTAGATTTAGAACCCCTAGACCTTTAAATGCAAATTAAAGCTTCTACCGTACCCTTCAAGCCAAGACGTGACACCTGCACATGTCACCCTCACTGAGACCTTAATCAAAACATCAACATGCCACTATGCCACCACCCTCAAACGCGTCAGCCCATACCCGGTTTCAACAGGACATTAAAGTATATAGGCAAGCCGCAACGCAAGGATTGAAACAAAAAGAAACAACACCCGAGGCCAATTGCGAAAAATGGGTTGACATACCCAACAATCACACGAGTAAACCCACACATCCCTAAACCCAAAACCCCACTCCGGAACCCTAAACGCTGAACCCTTCAGAGGGTCCTGAGGGTCGGCCATGATCCCGGCCATGACTTCACCCGCAGCCGCTTTCACGATCTCCTGCGATTCGGGGTGGTTTGGGAGCTTAGAGTTCAGGGCTTTAGTTGGGACATACACACACATACCCACATGCATAAATACATACATGCATACATACGGAGATACATACATACAAACGTACATCCATCCATACACACAGACATACATACAGACATACATACAGACATACATGCATACACCTACATATACACATGTGCAAACACGTATCTATGCATTGAGGCCGGGAAACGGAAAATTGGACAGATCCTGCATAAATGTCAAAATCAAGGTCTTTGCAGGGCACAACATTTAGATATGTGTGTACATATACCAGTTATATGTACGCATACATACCTAGTACATGCATGGGTATATAAGAGCTACCTGAGAGTTACATATACATATACATGCCTACATCGATTTAGATATATATATATATATATGTATATATACATATGTGTGTATGGCCCCAGCCAGCAACAGTACTGCAAAACTGCATGGCACACCATCTCCAACCGGCCTTCTCGTCGCTCGGCTCCACAGCGAGACCGGTGACGTTGGTGTTGGGGGACGTCCTGTTGGGGATACTATATTCTAGTATACTCTTGTACATTTGAATACATAAAAGTATAGAGTATATTATACTCATATTACATGAAAATATATACTGTGGGATGCTATTGTAAACAGTGTATTATACGTCCAGGTGGGGTCGATGAGGATGCAGCGGAACTCGTAGCTCTGACGAGGTCGGTCGGCATCCTTTCCATCTTTCCTTTCGAGGAAATCGCAGTCGCACGGTTGATGAGATAAAGCCTGCATTACCGATAATAAGGACTTTGTCACTTTGTAATTGAAACAATTTACATCATCAGCGGCAACACTCCACGACGTCTTGGTATGGGGTTGTAGCAATTGCGGAGACTCCGACACGTAGGCTTCGTTCTGAGGTCTTCGACGCTCGAGGCGCAGCTAACAATACCCATGCGCAAACACACGTGACTGCTTGGCAGAACGTGCCTAAGACCACAACTTGAAATTTGCCATTTTGAGGGCAGTTCACACCAAAGTGCGTAGCCAAGCGTCCGAATGAAGCGGAAGGCGGAGTGAGGGGTCCCCCCATAGCCTGAACCAGTGCTCGAGACGACATGGCATGATGTCCCACGGTTTTGCGACTCCACAACCCTTCTAAACCTTCGTAACCCTACATTCTAAACCCTAATCAAAACCCCTCCTCATCTTGCGACAATTAAACTACAATAATAAAGAAGCCAGGGGGCGCGTGCCCCCCGGTCCCTCGTGGGGGCTGGTGATGAACCTGCGAAGAGCCACGGAAAGAGCTCGGAGAACACTTTGGGGTGGGTCGCGAAAAATTGCTTTGCCGTAGCCTCAAAAAGGGGCCCCACATCAGTTTGTGCGTCAGCAGGTTCCTCACTTATGGGGGCTGCAAAATCAAGTCTTGGGGCGTCGGGTCACAGCACAGGGCCCTCGCATCCAACAGCGTGCGAGACCATGGCGCAGGAACCCCGGGAGGAAGGACTTCGATGATCGGAATCTTCGTGCATCATGCTCTGTAAAGCTCAAGCTCGATTGCCTGGACAGAAGCTCCACCTGACATTCCGTGCCCTCAACCTGAAGAAAACCGAACCCTCTGTAAACCCTAAACCCTCTATATATACATATATATATATATATATTATATTAAACCAGACTCCAAGACTCCGAACCCCAGCAGCAGCGGGCCTGTAGCCCTCACCCCGAGCCAGCTCCTGGGCTGCATCGACAGGCAGGACTCAGGGCTTTTGGGGCTCTGGGCTCCCTGAACCCAAATTGAACTCTGTCATGCTATGTTGTATATTATATTATG